GCAAAAGTGGCTTCAGCTTCTCAGTGCTGTGCTTCAACCCGTTGGGCCACCAGGGAGGGCCAAAAGGTACAACTATTTAAAAGATGCAAAGATAAGATGGAGTGTATAAATGTTTACACTTGTTTAAAAAAAGTAAGCATTTGTACTTTTTGCTTCTGCCTGCTGAAGTTTCTCTGGAAGGATACTTGCCTATGGGAAGATTAACAAGCTGTGGGGTGGTGGGAGAAACACTGTTCAGTTTATACTCTTGTACTTTAGAAGATTTTGAATCATATGAATGCATTACCTATTTCAACACTGTGTTAAAAGAATTTTAAAAGAGAGGAGTAGGTATAGAAAAATTGTTACTGGCTGCCTGTATTAATCAGTACTTTAAAAAATCTACACCTCCACCTAAATCCTTAACCCTGTTCCTTCATACATTCTACTGACTTTCGTTTCATTTGTCACATTCTTCCTGCACCTTCAACCTATCCTCTTCACTAGGTTGACGAATGTGTTCATAATTATGCCAAATAAAAGTTTTAAATTCCCCATGACACCACACTCCCCTCTAATTTCTCTCTTATTTTTTGATCAGAATAATATTCTGGAAACTTGAGTATCATATTCCCCAGTCATCATATAGTCATTACTGTTAGCCCTCTGCTCCACCATTCTGTTGGACTTGCTGTTAATGAGGTGGGATACGACCTTGCTAAATTCATATTTTTCAAACTTCTCTTATAAAAATTCGCCATTAGCATTATTAATTAACATTATTTACTTTAATATGAAGTATCACACAACTCTGATTCTTTGTAAGTCTTCTGTTCCCCCTCTTTTTCTGTTGTCTCATGTATGTCAAGGTTCCTTAGCTCTCTGTTCTTGGCCCTTCTCCCATCTACATTCTCTGTGACTAATCTCACCCCTCTCAAGGTTTTAACTATCACCAACAATCATCATTTAACAAATAGGTACTGCTCTTGACCCCCAAAGAATTTAGAAGTGCATGACTCCATTTAGAAATGGGTATTGCTTGCTGCCTCCTACACTCATCTGACTTCACCCACAGTTTCTGCATTTGTAGCTTTTGACCCTGAATATACCAGAATATGGCTGCTGGACATCAGTTCTCAGACTGAGGTAAGCTAGCCCAGTTCTCTGTTTTGAGATCATTGTTAAAGCCTCATAAGTGATGAAGGCATGGTCCCTGAGCCTGACTAGTTATAACACAGTTGGGCTGTTCATTTCCCTTTTCATCCTTAGAAATTAGTGATACCTCTGTCATCTGGAAAAGTATTATTTTATCTTTAGTAAAACAGTTAAGTATTTTAATTACCTTGGAGAAAGTAGTGTTGATAACTGAGTAAGGGTGGTTTTGAACAAAATTTGCAATCAATACCATTTTCATCTCTCGTGCATTAGTTAGAAAAGAAACAGAGCTACATGGAACATTCTAGATATTAACTTTTTTCCAAGGTGAGAGGTTGCTTTTAATAGAACAAAGAGAATAATTATCATTAAAACTTATCAGTGATGTTACGTATATTTCACATTAATTGGCGATTGATTTTAAAAATTTCCTGTTAGAGTCTTTTACTAGTATTTCTAATGGGTTGTTATTCCTAGGACCTATTTATTTATAGGAATTAACCTGGGAGCACCTTGGAGACAAGAATCGTATCTCCCTTCTTTCTTTCCTCAGCTTAACACAATGTTTGCAGTTTATTTCATGAAATGCTTATTGAAATAACTGGATTATCATTCTCATAATCCTTTGGTGATTACGTTATGAATCTGCTTTTCAGATGAGGAATTCAAGACACAGGTTGACTGATTTGCAGTCACACAACTAAAAGGCAAAATTAGCCTACAGTCCAGATCTTCTGATTCTAAATCACGGAATTGCTGCGGTTGCCTTCCGTCCCTCTGGCGATGTTTGCCTAGACCCTGTCTTTCGCAAGACAGGAATATTTTAAAAGAATGAATGAGCAAAGCGCAACCCACCGCAGAGCGCATGCGTCCTTCGCCTTCTCGGGTTGTGGGGGGAAACAGCGCCCCCTTGTGCCTGCCTCTTCGCCACTCATTTGGCCGCCGCGACTTGCCGTCGCCCGCGCAGAGACGTTCGCTAGTCGGCTGTGATGGCGACTGGAACGCCAGATTCCCAAGCGCGATTCGGTCAGTCAGTGAAGGGGCTTCTCACCGAAAAGGTGAACACCTGTGGTACTGACGTGATCGCCCTCACCAAACAGGTGCTGAAGGGGTCCCGGAGCTCGGAGGTGAGGTGGGAGTGGACCCGCGGGCCTGTCACCTCGCGCGCACTCCCTTTCACAGCTGCTGTGAAGGCAGCCGGGGCTGTGGGCTGATGCTGAGAACCGGCTGGTCAGCGGGCGGGCGGCTCGAGTTCCAGCGCAGACTCTTGGGCAGGACTATGGGTGTAGTGGGGGAAAGGCTTGAGGTGAGGGTCACCTCGGGCTGAAAGAGGGCGTTGCCGCAGGGCTGAGGGCGAGATGGCGACTCTAACCAGTTCCTGATTTGCTTCCTGGGTTGTCGCTAGTGAATTTTTGTCCCTTTGGGTCCCGCAGGTTCCTCAGCATCCGAGATTCGCCCTTACACGTTTGTGCCTCATCTGTCTACGCATTCATTTTCTGACTTGTCTTTTTGTCCACGTTCTTGGCTTTTGGTTCAGTTTTCTCTTTTGCCCCTAGCTATCCCTCCTCATCCTCTGGCTGCTCCATCAATGGAATTAGTTGATGGCTTTTCACACCAGACAAGTTTGTGTATGTGCACAAATGTCTCAAACACCACCTTGTTCACTATACTCCTAGATTTTAACCCAAGAGAAAATAAGCTCTACCTCCATAAAAAGAGCTGAACATAAGCGCATATTCCATGACATTGTTTAGGGGAAGGATGTCCTAAAGAAACTCAGAGATTTGTGGACTCCACCCCCTACTCCAGTGATTGAAAACTACAACTCCCAGTAGTACCAAGCAGAGAATAGGGAGGACGGAAGGATGGAGCTAAGCAGGTGTTCTGGGCCTTTGGGGGATAAAGAGAGAGCGGTTTTTCAAATGTCGCTCTGGAGAGGTAACGGCTCACAGACCTTGTGACTGGGAGCTAGCAGTTAGTTTGTGACTAGAGCTCCAAGTTAGTGGAGCTGGTAAGATATTCCAGTTACTTTGTACCCCTCTCTTTTCCCCTAGGTTGTTCCATTTCCTTTCCCCTTTTTTAAAACAAACCCATTACCCTTTTGTGTGTGTCTGCAGAAAATTAAATTTTAAGTGTGGGTGAGGACCCACAGACAGGCAGCCCAGTTCACTCTGGGTTACCCAGTAACAATAGCACCAAACTAGAAACAACCCAAATAACCGTTGACAGGTGAATGGACAAACAAAATAGATCAAAATAACTCAGCCATTCCACTCCTAGGTTTTTACCTAAGAGAAATGAAAATGAGTCCATCATTTTGTTACAAAAAACAATACACAAAGCATGTCATTTTTCATGATAATAGTTTTCTCTTTAACTCACATTTAATCAGTTTCCATATTATTTTCATTAAGTTTTGTAGTTGGAGTATTAAGTCTTTGGGCTTGTATATAAAAGTTCATAGGAGCATTATTCATACTTAGGGTCTCTGATGGAAGTATCTTTGCACAATAAGCTTTCATGTTGTTACAGCGTAGCCCAGAGTAAACTTGGGCTGCCTGTCTGGGTCCTCACTCCTGCACTTAAAATGTAATTTTCTGCAGGCACACACAAAGGGTGATGGGTTTATTTATAAAAAGGGGAAAGAAAAGGAACAACCTAGGGAAAGAGAGGGATACAAAGTAACTGGGATATCTTAACTAGCTCTGCTAACTTGGAGCTCTAATCAAAAACTAAAACTGCTAGCCCCCAGTCACACCCTCTGAGAGTCATTGCTCCAGAGAGAGAGAACACTTACCTCTTCAGAGCGACAGTTGAAAAATCGCCCTCTGTTTATCCCCCAAAGTCCCAGGATGCCTGCTTAGCTCTGCCCTTGGACCCTCCCAGTTCTCTCCTTGGTACTGCTGGGAGTTGTAGTTTCCAGTCACTGCAATAGGGGGTGGAGTCCAGAAAGCTGGAGTAGGGGGGAGAGTCCACAAAACTGCACAATTTCTTCAGGACATCCTTCCCCTTAACAGTGTCATGCCCTTAGCTTTAATTAATAGTGTTTACAAGAAAATATATTTCCACTAACGTAGCACTACTATTGAAGTCTCTGATCTGGTAGTCCCAAATATGTTTTGTGTGAGACCCCATGTATATCACATGCTCATTTTAGGGTTCAATATCAGAGGAAAGCTTATCTTTTGAAGAATTGTTATGTTGCCTCAATCGAATAAGAATTATGCAACTCATTGTGTTTCACTTTTTGGCTTGGTTACCTAAAAGCCCCATGTCTCTTTTAGTATTGAACATATTTGCTTCCTTCTCCCTTTCATGGTGTGTATACCTTTTTTTTCAAAAAGAAAATGTGTGTATTTAAGTGTTTATATACACTTAGGTGGTTGGGTATAAGTGGTCCTAAATCTTTTTTGGGAAAAAATAGATGATTTGTGAAAATAGATGGTGTTCATAGCTAACCCCCAGTCATCATAAAATTACATATATTGAGCATCTGCTGTGCACTGGACACTGCTGTGTTTTAGCTCATTTTCTTTACTATTTAAAGGAGGCTCTTTTACATAGATTATACAAAGAGGAATTTATTGTCCAAGATGACTCAGTAGCTAGGAAGGCGTTAAAGGCTGGATTCAAATTAGGTAAATGGTTCCAGGTCCACTTTCTTGAGCACCACTTCTCATGAGCTACTAACTGGATTAAATGGCCAAAAGTCACTGTGTCACCACTGACTACCCTGTTGAGGCCTGCTCTTCCCCATTCCTTCCTGAATATTTTTCTCATGGACTACATCTCTAGTAGCTTCAGAGTGGGTGCTTAGTAATTGGTGTTGATGGAGTTAAACTGAGATCAGTTTGCTTTCTGAAACAGGGTTATTACATGGTATCTCAGTTCTCTGAAATTTTCTTTTTATATCTCTTGTATGACATTTATCACATACAATGTTGTCCTTGAGTTGTCAACAAATATATTCATCATCCAGAAAAGTTGCCACTTTTCAACAATCGCTACATTCCAGACAGCCACAAGTCCCATCCATTCTATCTTCTAAATGTCTCTCAAGTACCCTCTTCTCCTCCCCCCCTTTTTTTACTGCTACTAAATGAGTTCAAGTCACCATCATTGCTTGCTTGAATACTGGTCTTCTCCTAACCAGTCTGTCTGTCTGCACTTCCCCCTCAAGTCCATTCACTTTTTCTTGAAATGACATGTAAACGGACTTCTAAACCCCTGAGTGTCAGCATAGAAGTCACTTCTTTTGAAGAGCTCTACCTGAACGCTTCCCTCTGTCCCACTGGCTTCACCATTAACACTTTGTTGTTTTTAAATTAACTTTTAAAAGATTTATTTATTTACGCATGTAAGAACTGGGGTACTGTCCAGAGGGGTGGGGTGGAATGGTGAGATGGTTCACCAGGGGCAGAGTGGGGAACTCAACAGACAGATCAACCAAAATTCACTGCTGAGGGGAGCATCAGGCAAGATAGGAGAGGTCTGCTGTATAGTGTAGGAAGGCTCCCTGGCCTGGATGGAACTCAAACTCATGTGGGTGCTGTACTTTAACCTTTATGCCACCAGAGAGACCTCACTATCAACACTTTATAACCTCAGATGGTAAGCCCAAAAAGGACAGTGACTATGTCCCTTACTTACATAAGCATGTAAAAATATTTGTTCAATGGGAGAGTGAAGTTGTCTGTTAAAATCCTTTTAGAATTCTGCCATCGATTTGTCAGTCAGGCTCTTCCATCTATGAGTTTGGAGTTTGTGTCTAAAAGTGGCCAAAAGGAGGCGCAGGCACTTTCATACATTGTAGTGGCAATGTATATAGTGTTATAACCTTAATAGAGGGGGAATTGGACAATAGATAGCAAAACTAAGACCCTCTTTTCTAGCAACCACAATGACAATTCTATTACTTTATCCCAAAAAAAGATGCAAAGATACAGAAGGTATTCTTCTGTAATACTATCACTAACAAAAGACTAGAAACAGTCCCAAATTCTACAGTGAAGGAATGGCTGAATAATCTTACAGGATATTTATACAGTGGCATCCTCTGCTGCAGTAGAAGAGCTTTACAGAAATTCAGTATATATTGCTGCAGATCCAACTCAGAATTTATTATCAAGTGAAAATAGCAGAACATGGAAGAATGCAAATAGAATGTTATACCTGTACAGAGACACAGAGGATAGATGCAGATTGTTTTAAAAAGAAACAATGGAAGGAGAATCTAAAAGACAATGAAACTTAATTAGGGACAGGAGTGAGAGAACAGGGTGGAGGAAAGGACAAGTAAAAAAGTTGTTTCTTTTTTTTTTTAAGGAAGCCATTTTTATTGACAGTTTAGGACCACAGTCAACAGCTTCATAGAATAACAGAAATAAAATAATCCCAAAGCAATAGAATGTAAAATTGTAGCAAACAGGTTTAATACTCTTTGCCCTCATCCTTTGCACCAGTACTATCTGCTTCAACCTCTTCATAATCCTTGTCAAGGGCAGCCATGTTCTCATGGCCTCAGAAATTTTCTTTCCTCCATACTGTCACCCACATATCAGTGAATATAGGCACAATTGGTAGACACCAGGTCAGAGTATAGTTCAGGCCTCACAGTGGCTGTGTGTTGCTCAGCTGCACATCGCTCACTGAACTTTGGCCAGGTCTCCCCCACATATCACAGTGGGAGGCTAGTAATTAATGCCAACTTTGAAACTAGTAGGGCATCAATCTACCAGATGCCATGGTTGGTCTTGATCGTGGCAGTGATGTCATTCATATCTTTGGGAACCATGTCAATGTGGCAGAAGCCATGAATTTACCATGATGAGGGCTGCATTTCACTGTCTGCTTGACTAGCTTAAAGCATGCATTGGTGATCTCTGCCACAAGAAGCTGTTCATGGTAGGCTCTCTCAGCAGAGATGACAAGGACCTATGTGAGCAGAAGCAAATGGATGTGGGGATAGGGCCAGTGGGTTGGTCTGGTATTCTGTCAGATCAGCAGTCAGAGCTCAATTTGATCTGAGAGAAGCAGTAATGGAGGACATAAACTAGCTAATAAAGCAGTTAAGTTTAGTTTATATTGGGCTCTCAGTATCAAGTGTTCTACAACAGATGTCATAGATGGGCTCATTGTCTACCATGGAGGCACAGAATGCTCCAGGTGGTGTGGGTGGTGAAAATCAAATGGTAAGGCTGGGTAAAGAGAATTCCAGGTTGGACTTCTTGCCATAATCAACAGAGAGATGTTCCATTAGCAGGCAGGTGGACCTGGAACCAGATCCCCCACCAGAGCTGTGGAAAACCAGTTAGCCCTGAAGACTTAGGTACTGGCCAGCTTAAGAATTTGGTCCAAATAGGGTCAGTGATTTCTGTGCCAGTGATTTAGTATCCTCAGGCATAGTTATTGGCAGATCTTTGCCTGTGATGAGCTGCTCACAGTAGAAGAGCTAGTGGTGGTAGGTGCCACTGCAAATTATATCATTGACTGTGGCTTCTAAGTCTACTGATACTGTCCAAGATATGTGCCTGACAGTGTCCATCTCACTGAAGAAGGTGTTGAAGGCACCATCTTCTTTCCCAATTGTCTTGTCACTGGGTATGATGCCAGCTAGCTGGATGCCATGTTCCCAGCAGTAGCGCTCCCATTAGGCATTGCCAGTCTGGATGATGGCACTCATGAATGCACTCATGTATGACTGGGACTTGGAGGATTATGGGGCTGGAGGAAGTGAGGGGCTGGCAACAAGTTTTCCCATTCTGAAACCCCGCTACTTCCCAAGCCCTTCACCCTCTGTTTCTCATGCCTTTTCTAAGCAGCTACGTTCTTTATGTCTTATTCAGTCCCACCTTAACTCTACTCCCCTACTACTCCCAAAATACCCAGATCTCTCTAAAGAGTTCTAATGGGGCTTGTGGAGCCAGTGTTTTTTGCAGATTTCTTAGCACTTGCTGAATAAGCCCTGCAGGGAGCTCAGCAGCTCTGAGTGTAGGCTGTGTGTGGCCTTTGGAACAGATGTCAAGTTCATGCCAGAACTGCCACAGTGACAATAGAGTGGATTTTCAACCTGAACAAATGGGGAATTATCCTGTTCTTGCATTTAAAGTGTTTGTAGTGGTATGGGTTGGGAGAGTGGGGAGAATAGAGAGGTCAGTAATGTAACAGCTGCAGAGAGAAGATGACAGGAAGTTTGGAAATTTTGATTATTACTATTTTATTTTTGTCTTCCAGCTGCTAGGTCAGGCAGCTCGGAACATGGTATTACAGGAAGATGCCATCTTACACTCAGAAGATGTAAGGAAAAATTTCTTACATGATTGGGTTTTACACATGTTTATGTGACTACAGGGAAGTGGAATGCTCTATTATTCTGTGTTTTTCTTTATTCAGAGTTTAAGGAAAATGGCAATAATAACTACGCATCTTCAATACCAGTAAGTACACTTTAGCAAGTGACTTCTTGTTGCAGAATCATTACAGATGTGTACTTCAGTACATTTCCATGGGGCATACAGTGGGGTTAGTCAAGGATGACTTTCTTCTGGAAAGATGCCTGAGACAGCACAAGTTAGAGTAAGAGGGAAGATAAGGAGTAAGGGTCACTTTTTATGAACCCCTCTTGTTTGTTAACCAGGGTCTCCTTAGGAGAGACTGTAAGCCCCCTAAGATGCTTGGCATTCAGTAAGCACTTAGTGATTGCTGTCTTTGCCCATGGTCTCTCCAGGGGAGTCTGCTCCTTTACGAGGCCATTTGGTATAACTGTGATTTCCATCCTATGTGCTTACATATATATAACCCAGGCCTAGCTACATAGAGATCATGTAGGAGATTCTGTTATAATTTTGGTTAAAATTATATTGCATTAAAATTGTATCCAACATTATAATTAGCTTTTCATCTTATTTCATTGTATACTTGTGGTTGTTGCTATACTTATGTACCTGTTGGCAATGTTTGATTGGGAAGTTAGTTCTTGATACTTAAAAAACTAAATGTTCTTTCTTTGGGTAAATACAGTATTCATTTGTGACTCCACATGCCCAGACTCAAGTTGAGCTATGCATATAGTTTGTTAGAGCCTTCATTCTGATAAAGTATTATTACATCTTTAGGTTTAGAATCCCTCTTCAGCAGTTCTGCACACAGCTGTTGATCAGGGGTTCAATGGTACAGTTTTAGGGTAAGATGGACAGAAGTATAGACTGTAACATAAAATTAATATTTGTGTTATTTGTAAATAAACTGCTAGTTCACTGAGAGTTCCTATATTTATATTTCCCTTTACTTTTCTGATTTAGGCAAGAAGCTATTCAGAAGAAGTAAGTAACTCCAAAAATAAGGGGCTGGGGACCTACTGAAGAAGGCTGAGAAGAAATATATTGCTAGGCCTAGTGGGTACAAAATTCAGGTTAACACATACCCTTAAATTGACATGTGTGTGTTCTCTAGGGGTAGGTTATTTGGAATGTAAAGAATGATACATGGTAAGTCAATTCACTGCTAGGAAAGGCTTTCTAAAAGTTACAGAGTGTAAAGGCCAAACTTAAAGAATATAAAACCTTTTACACTAAGTAGAATAAGCATGCTAAAGTCAACCTTGTTTTTTTTTTAATTATTTTTTTATTAAGATGACAATGATATGACATTATATGACATTTGGAGGTGTAGGTTCAAAACAACCTCATTTTTGTAGAGTAGATTCAAACTGTCCCTTATAATAGTGCTTATATCTCTAATTGGCTTTAACAACATTTCTTCATAATTTAAATACTTTTGGGACCCTAGTGGACCAATACAAATTTTTATTTAGTTTCAGCAGTTTGTAAAGCACAACTAGATTGTAGAAAAAGATGTCTTTATTGTTAATTGTACATAAACCTTTTTCTCTCTCCTAATTTCTAGTGTTGAGCAGTCCTCGGATCTACAGGACCAGTTGAATCATCTGTTGAAATAGAATGGCTTATTAGGAGCAAGAGCACTTCTTTGCTTGATGCTGAGGAGGAAATACCTTACAAACTCGTGCTGTGGGTTCGATTTTCCATCTTCTGCAAAGATCAAGTTAGAAAAGATTTGTGGTGATGTGTAGTTTTTCCTGAAAAGAAGTCGTGTGGTTGAATTTGGGAAGTATGTATGAGTTGGACACCCATACACTTATTGAATTTTTAAGTTGTTTTTTAGTTTGATATTAAAGCAAATTAAAAGATGTCTTAGTTTTCCAGTAGAACTTTAATATGTCAAAAGCCATATCGTCTAAATGTTATTCTTAAGTAAATATTGACTAATGTTTTAAATTCTGAAACAGAACTTTCATTATGAACACATAAGAATGCTTAATATTCATTGTAAAAACTTTTCCTTTGATCATGTTTAGGAAATACTTTTGATCATATATTAAGGAAATACTTTAACTTCATGATCACAAGGTGGTGATAGGTAATATGTTTGTCTTCTTTCCTGAAAACTCAGAGGAAGAGATATTTTATATATTGTGGTGAATTCCTAAATTTGCAAACTAAGCAAATAGTATCATGTGTGCGCTGCAACCTTCTACTTTGACCTCCTAGTTTGTTATTGATTAAAATGGCCTTGGGTTCATTTCGTAATTTTGCTAGTCAGAAAATTCACTTGTATGACATTGTCAAATGCCAAGGCAGTTGGAATTACTAAGTGATTGTAGTGTAGGGTTGTGAAGACCTTGTTTACAGACATTTACCAACGTTCATTGAGTTCACCTTGTTAAATGGCATTTCCATTGTCTGTGGTTAGGTCCATCTAACCACAGTTCTAGTTCAATTTTTTTTTTTTTAAACAAGCAATTTCTTTTTTTAAGATTTACTTATTTATGCATACAGAACTGGGGTATAGGCCAAAGGTGTGGGGGGCTAGAGGTGTGTGTGTGAGAGGATTCACCAGAGAGAGAGCAGGGCGCAGAACAGGCAGATTGACTGAAATACACTGCTGAGGAGAGTGTTGGGCGGGTCAGGAAAGGTCTGCCATGATATGTGGGTCATCTCCTTGGCCAGGAATTGAACTCTTGCTGCAGTGGCTCTGGATAGCTTCATAGTGCTGTGCTTTAACTTGTGCCACCAGCGAGAGCCTTGTTCTAGTTCAATTCTTAATTTACTAAGAAGTTGAGAGAAAATCAATATGAGAAATTGATATAATGGTACTTTCATAAGGGTTTGATTTATTTTATATATGTTTGATTATCTTATAGTCATCAAATTGACTAATCATATCACATTGCATTTATCTCTCATTGTATATAATTCATATTAGCTTAAGGTAAAGAAGAAAACTAAATATGAAGGGATTTACTTAATCATTCTATAAACATTTTATTAAATGTAAATGGGCTCAACTTTTATAAAGAAGGGTTGCAAATTACAGCAAGTGTTATATTAAGAGTAAACCATTTGAATCATCATCATTTCTGTTCAACAGTTTGCTGTAGACCATACCTGGTGCACAAATTAAGTATAATTAGCAATGATGAGACAAAGTTATTACTTTTTATAATTATTACTTTATTTTATATAAAGGGACATTTATTTAGAATAAATAGATCACCAATTTAGAATACAAAGTCCATCTATCCAAGTATATCAGAAGCAAAGAAATACTTAAAATGAAAAACAAATTTAAATACAGGTAAGTATGTTTTCTTCACATTAGAACAAATACTAAAGAAGCAGTGTATGCTTATACCATTGTTTCTGATAAAAAATCTTATACAATCAAAAATTTTATGGTAAATAAAATTTACATTAGAAAATAAACCTAGTATCATTGAATTCAGTCATTTTTAAGAACATACCAAAATACACAAAAGTAGCCAGAATTATAAAAAAAAAAAGTAGCCAGAATTGTGGGAACCAACAAAAGTGTAAACATACTTGATAGTTTGTTCTGTAGAAATAAACAGATAAAATAATTTTATCTAGAATTAAAGTGCAATTAAACATGGAAACAAAAACTGCTTTTAAAATAGCATTTGGATTGTAGAAGATGTGTTGGAGGATAATATTTTAAAAACAGTAACAATTGTGTGCAAGAAAATTCATGATATCAGAGCTGTACTATAAAGATAAAAATCATGCTTTAAACTTCTGTGTTAGCAATAATTTTTTTAAGGGGTTGTGGTTAGAATTTAGAGAGAAAACAGAAGAAATAAAAGTGGAAGAAAACAAGCATAAATGCCAACTGGAAAAGAATATAAAAGTATGAAATCACTAATTGGTTTTTCTCAATTAAGGTATCAGCTCAACCACAAAAGTTCAACTAGGCAATTTATAATTGAAAAAGAAATGTGTAAAGTAAATCAATTAGATTTAAAGACAGTTATCTGCGCTTGATGCAAAAATTTTGATCTTGAGCATAAAAATGCTTGACTTCTTTTAGTGATACAAATATTACAAAACTGAAATTTAAGCGAGCATTCCAGATTGGTTATAAAAAAGCAACTTCCTTTCTTAAATACAATTCAAAATTGACTGAGAATGACTACATATGTACAAGTTTATCTCCCTGAACTTCTGGAAAAGGAGGGGACAGTGGTTTAGGAGTAGGAGGTGGATGAGGGCATTCCTTGGAATAGGCAAGAGAAATGGAAGCATTCACTAGGGTGCTGGCTACGTATTCAGAATAAGAGAACTTAAAGCTAAAGAAAGGTGAATTCTACTGAATGTAAATTACATTTCAATAAACTTGACTTTAAAAAAGGAATGAGAAAAAAGTCATCTACAGGAGTGTTCATTTAAGCCTGAAAACCAGTTTCATTTCGCAGCGATTAAGGAAGATATTAATAAACAGTATAATGGTCGTTTCCTGGTAGGGAAGAGGAAAGGTAGCCAGGCAGGCTTCAGGCCAGCAAGGCCTGAGAGAAGTGAGCACACGCAGTCGGCAGTGGGCGGTCGGGCCGCGCGGGGGCAGGGTCTGAAAGAGCTGCGTTCCTGCACTGACAGCGCGGGATAGGCCCGGGCTTTTAAGCCCGCCCAGCGGAAATCTGGCCTTCCTGCCCGGGGCGGGCCGCTGCGCGCTAAGCTTTGGAGGGCTAGATTTGCGGACCCTAGTCCCGGAGTTCTGAGACCGGACCCTAGTCCCGGAGTTCCAAGACAGAGTAAGAATGCTGCTCTGTACGCCTCGCCCCAACCCTGGCAGGCTTTCTGGCCGCTGCCCTGTACGCCTCACCCCAACCCTGGCTGCAGGCTTTCTGGCCCTGAGCCCCTCTCTTCCTAATCCTCACTTTCCTCCCCTCAACACTCCCTGGGTCTGGGGGTGGGGTCTAGCACGCTCCTTCCCAGCACTCTCCTTCCCAGCACACCCCTTTCACACGTCCTTGCTACTAAATAGGAGCATTTTTGTTACCTTTAATCCTGGTAGTGGCAGCGCCCCCGGAAACGGAGATCTGGAAGGACGTGCAGGTGAGTGAGAGCCCTGGGCCTACAGTGGGGATTGGGGAGCCCTCAGCATGTGAAAGTCCAGCCTTCTCTGACCCACACCTTACTCTGCACCCCCAAGGACTTGGACAGAGTAGTCTGGGCTTGCAAAAAGCAAAAGTAGGCCACGCCTGGAAGGTTGGGTGGGTGGGGGACATTCAGAAAGACCTTCACCTTGCAGAACCCAGCTCCAGCTCTTTTCCTCTTCTCACCCCTTTTCACCCTTGGTCCTGGGTTAGGACTACTACGGGCAGGTGTTGACGAAATCAGCAGACCTCCAGACCAATGCCTGTGTCACTCCAGCGAGGCCCATTGCCAAGCATATACGGGAAGCCCTGCAGAATGTACATGAGGAAGTAACCTTGAGGTAGAGTGCCTGTCTGCCTCACCGAATAGCCCAGACAGCAGCTTTTCCAGAAGGTGGTGATGCTGGTCAGTAGGGCAGGCTTTCCTTGTCCCTCAGGCTTCCTTGTCAATGGTAAAAGTCCAAACAGCACAGGTAGTCCTACTGCTTCCTTCTGGTGGAAACCCTTCCTCCCCAGCACTCCCCTTGCACTCACAGAATACATTCATGCTCCTTGAGCCTGGCAGTCAAGATTGTCCAGTCGACACTTCCTTTCCAGTCTTGGCTTCCTCTGATACCCTATATTGCTTTAGCCAGAACTTTCCCTTCCTCACTGCCATCTCACTGCTGCCCAGCCTGCATTTAGCAATCTGGATTACCTTCCCTTTCCTTCTACCTTCCAGAACTTTTCCATCTAACACTTCACTGATATAATGCCCTTATGCCTTCCCCAAACCTTTAGCACCCCTTTCCCTACAGCATGTGCTGTACCTGTGCCACTCAGTTTGTCAATAAATCATGGAAGATGTTTTCTGTGCTCTTGTTTTACCTCCCCAGTTTGAGTATACAGGTAGGAGACAAAATCTTGCCACTTGTTTTTTTCTTCAATAGCTGTGATAGCTTTAGACCTGTGTTAGACATTCAGATAATACCCAAATGTATTAATTCAACACATATGGCTTATTTGTCTTAGTAGCTGGTACAGTGCTCAACAATACAGTGGTAAACAGTAGATAAGAGTCCCACCTTTCACGCAGCTCTCAGCTTAGAAATGAATGATAGAAAGGGGAAGGAGGAAGAATTTATAAGATTTAATTTATTTCTAGAGTCTTAAAGGGAACAATTTATTCTCTCTGGTTTCTTATAACATCCAGGTATTATGGCTGTGGTCTGGTCATCCCCGAGAGTCTGGAAAACTGCTGGATTTTGGACCTGGGTAGTGGGAGTGGCAGAGATTGCTATGCACTCAGCCAACTGGTTGGTGAGAAGGGTCATGTCACTGGAATAGACATGACAGAAGGTCAGGTGAGACAATGACTTGGAAGACAAGAAAAAAAATACTCAAAAACATTCTTTTGGAGAAAAAAGTTGTTTCCTTCTGATTCCAATGATAATTTAAGAAGGCTGCTTCTTAAATTAAGAAGGCTGTTTGTACCTGGAACTGGCAAGTTTGACAATCAGGGCTTTTCTAGGAGAACACAGTCAGAAGTTTGATCTGATAAGTGGCTATCACAGTCTGATCTCTTCCTCTTGCCATCTATCCTGAAAGATAATTTAATGAGTAAAGAGTCTCTTTAAACAGGCAGGGAAGTTACTCCTATTGAGTTGTCTGGGGCTGTAATATTCCCAGCTTGCCCAGAGGGACTTGATTACTTGTTTATTCAAAATGGTCTGGAGGAAGTGTATTCCATTAGTGGTAGAAAAAAAATTTAGACTGAAGTAGTATTTTTAAGAAGCTCTTTATTAAATCTGTATTTTTCTTCTTTTAGATTGAAGTGGCTAAAAAGTACATTGCATATCACATGGAAAAATATGGCTTCCAGACTCCCAATGTGACTTTTGTGCATGGCTACATAGAGAAGTTGACAGAGGCTGGAATCAAGAATGAGAGTTATGATATTGTTGTGTAGGTATATCTTTATATGAATATAATCTGCTTATTGTTAGACACCAAAATGTCACCCCTTTTTCCTGAATTGACCCCCATTCAGGGTATTAAATTAGCATAACTTCATAAAGAACGGGAGCTGGTCTGAGCTGTTTGTAGCCTACTGACTGAAGAACTTATTTTAACTTTATCCATGAACTGATGAGCTCCAAAGACCAGCAAGACCACTGCACTGAGTCTGCTCATACAAACTCTGCTGATCTCTGATTCTAAGTATTATTTTCATGGCTAATTTATAGAATTCAGTGTTTCTTTCCTCCAAGTTGTGAACTCATTCAAGTGATAGCTTTCAGAAAGTTAGCCTGTTTACATGTAGCTTAAGACTTGTATCTGGGTTTCATTTTCTTGCCTGGTAAACAGGACAGAAACAAATAAGAATTATGCCTGGTGGTTTTTTTCTGCACACCTAA